CAATTTGTCTTGTCTATTTCCCTCTAGACCTGGAGCTCAGTACCGACCACTCCTGTTCAGCACCATGTCCTTGGGGCCTAGAGAAGATCATACCAAAAAGAAGTCCTTTTAATAAGCCCCCATTGAAAAAGAAATGGATTAGTTCAAGAAGAGGAGAAGGGCATTCTCGCTAGATCTTTAGGACACAGTGAGTGCTCCCTCTTCATATTTTTTCCTTTCTTCTTTATCTTTTTCTTTTTTTGTTTTTGATAATTGGATGCATGTGTGATCACCTCGTAGAAATCTGAGCACACAGCAGGTACAATTCTGAGCTTTTCTTCCGGAGGTTGTTCCAGGACATTTTGGTCTTTCTAGACTTTTAAGATATCATTCCTCAGGACAGCTGGGCAAGAAAAATAAATAAAAGGCATCCAGACTGCAAAAGAAGAAGTAAGACTATCTCTATTCGCAGATGATGTGACCTGGGGTAGAAAATCCCAAGAAACTCACTAAAAAAACTATTAGAACTAATAAACAAGTTCAGCAAGATCACAGGACACAAGATGTATGAATATTAATTGTATTTCCACACACTTGTGATGAATAATCTGAAAATTAAATTAAGAAAACAATTCCATTCACAATAGCATCAAAAAGAATAAAATATTTTGGAATAAATTTAACAAAAGAAATACAAAACTTATACTCGATCCTGAAAACTATAAAATGGAGTTGAAAGAAATTAATGAAAATCTAAATAAATGAAAAGACATCTCATGTTTATGGATCAGGAGACTTAACATTGGTAAGATGGCAGCACTCCCCAAACTGATCTACATATTCAACAAAAAATCCTATCAGAATCCCAGCTGGCTTCTTTATAGAAATTGGCCAGATAACTGTAAAATTCATATGGAGTTTTAAGAGACCAAGATAGCCAAAACAATCCTGAAAAAGAACAAAGTAAGACTCACACTTTCCAATTTCAAAATTTACTGCAAAACAGCAATAATCAGGATAGTGTGATACTGTTACAAAGACAGACACATAAATCAATGGAATAAAATTAGGAGTCTAGAAAAGAACCAGTACATATATGCTCAACTGACTTTCAACAAGGGTGCCAAGACCATTCAATGGGGAAAGAATAATTTTTTTCAACAGATGATCCTGGATAGCCACATGCAAAAGAATGAAGTGAGACTCATACTCTGCACCATAAGACAAAATTACCTTTACTGGTCATTAAGGAAATGCAAATCAAAATCACAATGAGATATCACTTAACACCCACACAAAAATGGCTATAATCCAAAAAAATGAAAAATAACAAACATTGGTAGAGATGCAGAGAAACTGAAACTCTTGTGCATTGCTGGTGGGAATATAAAATGATGCAGCCTCTCTGAAAAACTGTTTGGTAGATCCTCAAAAAGATACATATAGAATTACCATATGACCCAGCAATTCCACCCCTGGATATATACTCAAGAGAATTAAAAACATACATCTACATAGGAACTTGTACTTGAATGTTTATGGCAGCGTTATTCATAATAGCCAATAGGTAGAAACAACCTAAATGTCCATAAACTGATGAATGGATAAACAAAAAGTAGCATATGCATACAATGGAACATTAGTCAACCATAACAAGGAATTAAATCCTGATACATGGATGAACCCTGAAAACATTATGCTAAACGAAAGAAACCAATCATAAAAGAGCATGTATTAAAAGATTCAATCAATATGAAAAACCAGAATAGGGATAGGGAAATCTACAGAGGCAGAAAGTACAGTTGTTTAGGGCTGGGGGGGAGGGGGGGAAGAAGAAGTGATTGCTAATGATTGCTAGTGACTTTTGAGGTGATAACATGTTCTAAAATCAACTATGGGGCTGATTGTACAAACTCTGCGTGTAAAGACTAGTGAATGTACACTTTAAATGGGTAAATTATGAAGTATGTGAATTTTATCTCTATATAGCTTTTTTTTTTTTCAAAATAAAAGACTCCATTCCTCCCTTACACTTCATATACCCACACAAAGCCTTGCTTTCTCCAGCTCTATGCCTGGAGGTTTTTAAAACTGGGTCAGCTCATTCCCTGACTTTGGGGAATTGATCCTTATTTGAGACTCCTAGGCCCTTTTGACAGTTTGAAGTAATTGGCCATTTATGCACAGGGGCAAAGTACTACTTGGATAATCACTAAAGCCACAGTCTTGAAGCGCAGGAGTCTGGAGTTTGGAAAATACATCAACCAACGCAACAGCCAGGGTTCCACGAAAGGAAGCCGCAGCTTCTGATAACTGTCAAGTACATTCTTAGCACGCTGCACCCTTCTCTAGCTCCTCCTTCCCCACTTTGGCCAATTTCCTTCCCTCCCCCCTCTGCCCACCCCAACAAACTCTCCACTCGGAGGAAAGGTGAGCGTATTCCCACCATCCCCTTTCCAACCGAACTCAACTGCCTTCAGCCTCCGGCTCACAAATGACGGCCAACAACTGAACACTCTGATCTGAGTTAAAAGCTTTGTGTCGTGTGTGCTAACAAGCTGGGGGTTTTTGCCTTTTCTCTCCAGCTCAGATTACCTGGTTTCCAAGTGGGCCAACTCTGGGAGAAACCCTCCCAATCAATGCCTTCAGTTGAGGTCTAAACATCCATGCCTCTTACACCAGAGGAATAAGAAACAGACCAGAGGAAAAACCCGTTGCAACACAGTTATTACATTATTTCTTTATAACCAAGGTCTCCAGGTGAGGGGTAGGGTGGGGGATGAAAGAGTTTTGTACTTAATGAATAAGTACCTTGTAGTCCTCTTTGGCGCTACTTTAAAGAATTCCGAACACATTGCAAATGCTCTCTCAGTCTTCCATGTCTACAAGGAGGGAGCTGGAGAAGGAAAACCCATTTCACAGATCCAGAAATGAAGGCAGCAAGTAACCTGATAACTTTCCTGATCCCCAAACCAGTTCTTAGGCTACTCTGTTCACCATTAACTTATGGCCTACATTTTTCGAATATTCCTCCTAGACTCCCACTGCTTGCTTTTCCAGGCCAAACCCTAACCACTCACACATCCTTCTTCCGTGACTCCCAAACCCAGTCCATCCAGATTCTTGCTCTTTTGGAACACACAAAGTCAAGTTACTAATGATATTGTATCATGTGGATGGAGCGCTCCAGCAGAGTGGT